AGGCTTCAATCAATGCTGAAATGGTTAAGATCTTGCCTCCCACGATCTTCTCTCTGGTAAACAATATGGTTTCCGCTTTGCCCGGTCTACTACTGATGTGCTTACAGCCATAACTGAATATGTATACCAAGCTCTTTATAATAATGGTGAAGCTCAAGCTGTTACTCCATATATCTCTAATGGGTTTGACAGTGTTTGGCATGCTGGCCTTGTATGTAATCTTAAGGGCAACGGTATTACAGGATGATGATTTGATCTAATCCAATCATTCTTACGAAATCGTCAAATGAAGGTCGTCCTGAACTGACTCTCTTCCAGTTCCTTTCATACGAAAGATAGTGTTCCCCAAGGCTTTATTCTCGGTCCTACACTGTTTCTGATCTTCATCAATGATGTTTACTGATGTTCTCAAGTAGGCATTTATGCAAATGACACTACCATTTACTCCTGTCTTAAATAGTAAATCCGGCAGCGCTAACAAAGTTAACCTGTCCCTTGGTCTCGAAAAGAACCTCCAATCAGTGGTTAACTGGGGCAGGAAATGGCTTGTAAATTTTAATGTCTCCAAAACGAAACTGTTCTCATTTAACCAGAATAAAGAATCTTCCCTGCACCCACCAATAAACATGGTTGACGCTCGACTTCACGAGAGTGTCCCATTGTGCCGTCTCGGCCTCGCGTTTTCCACTGACTTGAGGTGAAAGAAACAACTATATTGAATCAATAGCTGCATCTATTGCAAGGAAAGTTTGTTCTCTGTGTCGCACCGGAAGGCTTTTCTCATCTGAGTCAATCCTGCACATTTATAAATCTACCATTCGTCCATACATTGAATAATGTTGTCATATATGGTCTGGTGCACCTGCTGCTTATCTCGATTTCATAGAGAGCTATTTTCCCTAGTGCTCTGACTGTATGGATTTAAACGTGCTACTAGGTTGGCATCTCGGTCCCACCCTTTTACTGTTGAAACAGTAAAATATAACGGCCTCGTCTACACTGTTATACTCCGTACCTATTAACACTAATGGGTATGTCCCAATTCTCATACGTTGGACACTATTGTAAGCGAGGTAATATATCTGTCTAAGTACTTCACCAATAGCAGTGGTTTACCTACTTCACGTCGCTGGCGAGTATTGTATTTTGTTGATATTATAAAGATTGCCATTTCATTTCCATGCTCTGTTTTGGTTATTCCTCATTCATTAACATTTTCTAGGTTACAACATACACAAACAGCTTCTTCTCTCGCACTTCCCGACAGTGAAACTCCCTTCCTCTTACTTGCTTCCCTGATGGCTATAATCTTCAATAGACATCTTCTGATACCTTGATCACTGTTTAATGTGTATAGGATGCTTCTTTGGCTCATTCTTCATCCTCTGTTGTCCCTGTTTTAAGAAGTCTGGCGAACCTTCTGACCCCCTCTAATGACCCCCCTATCAGTCTCCTAGCACTCTTCGGCAAAGTTTTCAGGGCTTTAATCAATGCCGAAGTAGTTGAGCATTTTCTGGTGGCATCGAATTTTTTGGTTCCGATGGCGGTGGTCATTTGCGTTACGGCACGGCAGTCATTGCATACATTCGCTGCTGATTGGATTTGCGCGGAAGATTACATTGTTAACGGCCGTTTTACGGTTCGTACTTGATTCAATTACTGCGTAACTGAGGACTGATTGCGTGCGCAATAATCAAGACTGTTCCGCAGCAAACATCTGCAAACAACGACAGTAATGGCTGCCGCGACGCGAATGAGTCCGAACTGTTATTGTCCATAACTCCAAAACGGTAGATTTTATCAAAATTTGTTTGTTATTTTCGAATTAAGCATATACATTTACACCTAAATATAACTATTTGGGGAATTTTTATTAGATATTTAATAAGCGAATTACGCGCGTTTTTTTCCGACCTTCCTTTCTTTCTCTCTCTCTTTCTTTCTTTCTTTCTTTCTTTCTTTAGATTCTTTTGTTTGTTTTCTCTTCTCTTTAATTTTCCTTTTTTTCTTTCCTTTCATTCCTTTCTTTCTTTCCTTCTCTTCTTTTCAATTTTTTTCTTTTCCTTCTTTTATTCTCATGTTTTCTTTCTTTCTTTCTTTCTTTCTTTCTTTCTTTCTTTCTTTCTTTCTTTCTTCAGATTCTTCTCTTATTCTCATGTTTTTTTTTCTTTTTCTTTATTTTCTTTCTTTCTTTCTTTCTTTCTTTTTCAGATTTCCTTTTCTTTTATTCCCTTTCTTCTTTTTTTTCCGTTCTTTCTTTCTTTCATTCTTTTCGTTTCTTATTTTCTACAAACAACATTCAATCTTTCCTTTTCTTTCTTTTAAACTCTTTCTTTCTTTCTTTTTTTTTCTTTCTTTCTTCCGATTCCCTTCTGTTATTTTCCCGTCTTTCTTTCTTTCATTCTTTTTCGTTTCTACACTTCTTTCTTTCTCCAGATATCCTTCTCTTATTCTCATGTTTTCTTTCTTTCTTTCTTTCTTTCTTTCTTTCTTTCTTTAGCAAATGGAAAATAATTGATAAAGAATAAGAAATATCGTTTAAAACCAGAACCTCTGAACCCTGGAAATTTTATCAAGAAACTTCGAAGTCGGGAAAAAAAATTGATATTTAAAAATTAATTATCTTTTCATATAATATTACATATATATGGGAGAATATGAAAAACAAGCTAATTGCATCAAATTGAGGGTAACTGAATGATAAAAATAGAAAAAAAAACTATGTACCTCTTATGTCGACCTTCAATTTTCTCATTATACAGTGTGTTCGAAAAGTCACTATGCACTCTTATTTTTATTAACAGACACGTTTCAATATAGAATACAGACGAAGAATATGAATGAAAATTACAAACAATGTTGAATGTAACGCCCGTTAGTATCAGTAGAGTTTCAGCTCCTTCACATTTTCTTTCTGAACACCGCCATCAGTCGTTCGCTTGAAATAGACTGAATGGACGCCGTTATCGCTGCCTTCAAGCCATCCGGTATGCGCAGACGGGATCGATACACTGCAGGTTTTGCTGTTCCCCATAATTAAAAGTTTGGTGGATTTAGATCTGGCAAGTTTGGGGAGTGGGGGGTGAACGTCTTTGGAAATAATGCTTGTCTGCAAATATTTTCTCCTCAAACTGCATAGCTCCGTGAGATGTGTGGGCCGTAGTAACATCATGCTGAAAGCATAAATCATTAATATCCTCTGTCGTCTGAACGATGAAGGTGGGATGGATCTCCGAACAATAACCCTCGCTGTTTATTGTGCTCACAAACAAAATAGGGCCATCTATTCGATATCTGGAAATCGGAACCCAAACTTGAGATCATGTCGGGGTGTTTCCTGCAAACCGTGACGATTATTGGAGAACCCTAATCTTGTGTTTTGCGACTTAACATAACCCGAGAGATGGAACCATGTTTCGTCGGTAAAAATCTCACATCTAACACGGAAGCTGTATTCTCTTAAACCATCTGCGTTAACGAAGTCTTGATGCTGCGCTAACTTTCGTAACTATTTTCTTGGTCCACCCCTTTTTCATACAAGTGAACTCGACCAGTGTGTACTTGGACTGCTGCCATTAAATACCCAGAGTCAGTCAGAGTAGAGAGATAGTGATTGTGATTGAGTTGGAGGTAGAGTAATAGTGTGAAGTAACCGCTTGTAGAAGTCACAGTTACAAGCACGTAGACTCTAAGGAAGTCTTACTTCGAGACTGTATATACCTATATGTTGTTGCTACTAACCGCGTTCCTGGATTTACTAACAGTATTACCCTTTGTATTATTGTATAAATACATTTAATTTCCCATCTTTAATTCCTGCGTTTGTCATTCATTGGAGACCGAATTTCACCTCGGAATCCACAACATTTGGACTCTGCTACATACTGTCAGAAATATTCAACAGTATCTCCTCCGATAGATTTACTGGTTTCCTACAACGTCTGGCATCGTCCACTGATCCTGTTTCCGGAAATTTATCACCCGGTTTATGAACTACATTGCGATATGAAACAGGTGTATCTGAAAATTTAACAGTAAAATTCTGTCGCACCAAATTTGTGTAGCTGGCACCTTCTCGAAATACGCGTTCGACAAGAAATACACGTTCCTCATTTGTTAAAACCATATTGGGGTGAATTCTGAAATATATAAAAAAAAAAATATGTTAAGAAAAGTGTAAATAACTTACCCAACGCCCCACCCTGGGAGAATATGAAACACGCTCTATGCATCAAACAAATGCAGGGTAATTGAATGATAAAAATAGAAAAACTGTCGACTTTCAATTTTCTTATAATACAATTTGTGAGACAATTGATAGTGTGCCACACTCTTGGATTCTTCAGGCTTTGGAAATGTACAAAGACTCCTCGGTGATAGTAAATTTCTTTAAATATAGCATGGAAATGTGGAAAACCACATTATACCTAAATCATACTTAAGGTAATGTCACTTCAAATTATAGACCAATAACATGTCTGTCCACCAAATATAAAATGACTGACTCTCTTCTCGATGAAAACAACATTCTTTTCCTGGAACAGAAGAGATGTTGAAGAGGTTCATCCGGGTGTAAAGATCAACTATTGATAAATGAAATGTTCCTGGGAAATTGCAGAAATAAAGGTAAAAACAAATTACCGTAAAGCCTTTAATAGTGTACCACACTCTTGGATTCTTCAGTCATTGGAAATATACAAAGTTTCCTTGGTGTAATAAATGTCCTTAAATATAGCATGGAACTCTGGAAGAAACATTATACCGGAATCATACTAATGGTAATGCCATATTGGTAATTGTTTTAATATCCGACAAGGAATATTTTAAGGAGACAACCTGTCGCCCCTCCTGTTTTGTCAGTCCTTAATCTCTCTTTCGCATGAACTAAACATTAATACCTATAGATACAAAGTAAACAAGAAATTGTTTAATCACCTATTCTAAATGGATGATATCAAACTCTTAGACAAAGACGAAAATGAATTGAATGGTATTCTCAACAATATAAAATGTTTCCGTGATGACGACGGTATGGATTTCAGATTAGATTAAATCAAACCAAAGATACTGCCACTTCTAACTGTCTAAATATCCGACGAGGAATCTTTCATGGATACAAAGTGAGGAAAGACAGTTTTTAATCTATATTGCTTGTCAGCGTGTAGGGACTGTGGAAAATCACATTATACCTAAATCATACTTAAGGTAATGCTACTTCTAATTTTTTCAATATCAGACGAGGAATCTTTCAAGGAGAAACCCTGTCGCCCCTTCTGTTCTGTCAGTCCTTAATATCTCCCTTTGGCATGAACTAAACATTAATACCTATGGATACAAAGTAGGCAAGAAAGTGTTTAATCACCTATTCTATATGGATAATCTTAAACTCTGTCAAAGAGACGACAATGAGTTGAAGGATTTCCTCAATACTGTAATATGTTTTAGTGACGACATCGGTATGGGTTCCGGATTAGATAAATGTGCAAAAGTAACATTAAATACAGGGAAAATATAATACTATAACATAACATAAACCATATAAAAAATAATTTAATTTCGAAGACGAAAATTACAACTGGAAAAAAAGATCTACAGCTGAAAAAAATGCAAGACGTAAATAAAAGTAACATTTCAATAACGTGCGCGTGTAAAAGGACGTTAAATTCATGGATTACGCATGTGTACAAAACGGATTAAAACGTTTAAAAAAAGACATGGAACAAACAGACGACAATGTATTGAAGGGTTTCCGCAATACTGTAAAATGTTTCAGTGGCGACATAGGTATGGATTTCGGATTTAATAAATGTGCAAAGGTAACAGTCAAGAAAGGGAGAATTACAGAAACACAGTCAATAGATTTAGATTTTGTTACAAAGATTAGGGACCGGGAACAAGAAGAAGCTTATACGTACTTAGGGATTAGCGAAGGAGATAGAATGAATCATAACCAACAAGAAGGAGAAAGTCCGAAAAGAAGACTGCGGACGTGTGCGTACCGAGATTTACAAAACAGCCATAAATATTTTGGTTGTCCCTGTCATTCAATACAGTTTCAACACCCTTTGGGCCATAGCTGATATTAAGCATTTTTAAAAAACTTTTCACCCCATGCAAAGTGAAAATGTCACTAGTTCGCAAGGGGTTACACAAAGTGAAAGTGGGAGAAAGGACTGTGTATTGAGGAAAGGATAAAAGATGAACGGGTTTCAAGCCTTTGATAGTGTGTATTATGGTCCGGTTCCTTGTACCACGGTGATAGTCCAAGGTAGAACCAATAAAGAAGAACTCGAACACGGATATGGAATAACACAGATATATTACAAACAGGAATATATACAGAGAAGTAGAAAAGTGTTAGTACGAACAATCAGTTTTAGTAGTAATTGTCTGAACGACGACTCTGTTTCGGACTGCCTCTGACTCGACTGACTGACTCGCACTCTCTGACAGACTTCTGACGGACCTCACTCCAGACTTCAGACTGAACGGTATTTAGTCACCTCCCTCGATGGCATCATGTGGCACAAGGCCGGTTTAACGTGGGATCTCCGAGCCCGTGGGCTCGGCCAAAAATATGCCCTTTGAACCCGTTTATACGGGTTCAGGGTCGGTTTACCTCCCCGAAAGAGACTCCGCCCTTCGGCGTAGTCTCGTTCGGGTTCCTCCCCACCCGAAGGCAGAGAGTTCAACCGATCAGCCGGTCGCCCGACTTCGGACTGAACTCCCTGCTTCCTCTTGAGACGCAGTATTTATTACGTATGGAATAGTCCATTATGTTATTATGGGTAAGGTCCCATAACAGTGTGCTACAATCTTGGATTCTTCAGGCTTTGGAAATGTACAATGTCTCCTGGGTGATAGTAACTTTACTTAAATATAGCAGGGAACTCTGTTAAAACGACATTATACCTAAATCCTAATACTAATGGTAATGCCACTTCCAATTGTTTGAATATCCGACGAGGAATCTTTCAAGGAGAAACCCTATCGCCCCTTCTGTTCTGTCAGTCCTTAACCACGCTTTAGCATGAACTAAGGTTTCTCCCCAAACTGCATAGATGTGTGAGATGTGTGAACCGCAGCAACCTCTCGCTGAGAGCATGAGTCATTAATATGCTCCCTTTGTCATCTGACCGATGAAGCGGGGATGAATCTCCGAACAATAACCCTCGCTGTTTATCGTGTTCGCAAAGAAAATAGGGCCATCTGTTACTAGCTGTATTTCGTTCTATCCTCTTCAAGCTAAATGCTTTTAAACATACCCAAGCAAGTGAAGACACGACATATAGCAAATGTCGGTTAAAATTTCCGTATATATATCTACGTATAGGACGAACTTTAAATCCTAAAACTCACCCTAAAAATTGGGGGTCATATTATATTACATTTCTAGTGAGTTAAATATGTACATGATTACGTCAGACAAGTTCGCTAAAGTGTCATAAGTGAATTTATCGCTGCGTATAAGACGACCTTTAAATCCCCCAAATTACCCTT